TACTAGGTGAAAGACACTTTCTAAATTATCACAATTACCCCACAAAGTAGACATGGTTATGCCATATTATAGATGAGGAAACTGAGGCTCAGAGCAGTGAAATGACTTGTCCAAGTTCCCATCAGAGGTAAAGGGTAGAGCTGTGGTTTGAACCCAGGTATGTCTTACTCCAAAATTTCTTGTAATGTGCCTTCACTGTTTAGAAGGAGAGAAAAAGGTGTGATGGAAATGCCATTTAGATCCATTTTGCTTCTTTAGGTTTTTTTTTTTTTCTTTTTTTTTAATATAAAATGTAAGTAATTGAGCACCAAACTGGTACCTACCCATTATCTTTTGACATAACTTTAAAAAAGTGACTTTTTAATTATAGAGTTAGTAACACTAAGCAAGGAAAATTTGAAAAATACAGAGAAAAAGTAAAAGAAACAAAGACAAATCAGATGATTTTTTGACCATTGTTTAACATTTATGGTGTTTCTCATCCTTTTTTTTTTTTTGCTATGAGCAGTAAATTTGTAGTTTGCATTTCACATTGGAATTATCATACTGCCTATGCATAGTTTGTATTCTACCTGCTTAACGGTATAAACACTTCTCTCTTTTTTAAATAAGCTGCATTGCCATCAGTTTACAGGCTGTGAAATAGTTCATTTGGTAGGTTTAACTTATGTTTATTAATATTTCTTTATTGATGACTTCTTTTACATTTTGCCATTATAAAAATGTCTTCAAACATCTTACAGCATCTAGCTTTGTCCTAATTTAGCATTATTTTCCTGAAATGGATTCCCAGAAGAGCAATTCCTGGGTTAAAAGGTCTGATTTTTTAAAGACTTTGATACATAATGCCAAATTGCTTTCCACAAGATTTTTAGCAAGTCGTTTTATCACCAGAAATGTATGAATGTTCTTTTCTCACATCAACACCAGCCTTCAGTGTTACCGGATTCTTAAGCTTCAAATTTAAAAGGCTACAAATGACTTCTTCTTTTCATGCATATTTCTTTCATTACTAGTGATATACAAAATGTCCCGTGCTCATTTACTTCATTCCTTCTTTCATGAATCATCTGTGTCCTTTGACCAGTTATTGAGTTCTAAGTCTATTTCTTATCAATTTGTATATGTTTTTAATATAATAAACATGTTAACCCACTGTCTATAAACATTTCTCCAGCCTGAAATTTGCCTTTTAATGTTGGTTATGATTTTGGAGCAGGGTAATTGTGTTTTAGTTATCTGTTGTTGTTGTTATGTGCCGTCGAGTCGCCCCGACTCATAGCG